TTTTCATTTGTTTGTCCCCCCTTACTTTCCCTCTTACACTCCACTTTCCTTCCTCACAAGTGTTTTGCTTCTGATCACTGCCTTCTCTAATATATGCTCTCTTTTATCAGTCCCTCCCCTCACTCTGTTATGCCTATTCCTTTGTTACTTTCTTATAGGGTAAGATAGATTTCTATATCCAACTGAGTGTGTATGTTGTTCTGTCTTTGAGTCAATTTTGATGAGATGGAGGTTCAAGTTTTGCCTACTATCCCCACCCTCCATCTTCCCCCTCCATTATAATAGCATTTTCATACCTCTTTTATGTGGGATAATTAACCCCCTTTAATCTTCCCCCTCCTTTTTCCAGTGCAATTTTCTTTCTCATGCCTTCATTTTATTTTTTTTTTTGGTGTATCATCCCATCAAAATCACCTTATATCCACACTCTCGCTCTAGACACACACACACACACACACACACACACACACACACACACACACACACACACACATACACTCTCTCTCCTTCTAACTGCTCTTGTAGTAATAAAGTTACAAATATTATCTTGTCATATAGAAATATAAACAGTTTAACCTTATTGGATTTATTATGTGTTCTCTTCCTTGTTTCTTTTTTACTTTTTTATGTTTCCCTTGAATCTTGTATTAGGAAGTCTTTTTTTTTTATTCAGCTCTGGTCTTTTAATTAGAAATGCTTGAAAGTCCTGTGTTTCACTAAATTTCCATTTTCCTACCAGAAAGATTTTATTCAATTTTGCTGGTAGGTGATTCTTCGATGTAATCCTAACTTCTTTGCCTTCTGCTATATCATATTCTAAGCCATCCATTTCTTTAATATGGAAGCTGCCAAATCCCGTGTAATCTTGACTGTAGCTCCATGATATTTGAAATATTTCTTTTTGGCTGCTTGTAAAACTTTTTCCTTGATCTGTGAGCTCTGGAATTTGGCTATGATATTCCTGTGAGTTTTCATTTTGTGTCTTTTTCAGGTGGTGATAAGTGAATTCTTTAAATTTCTATTCTGCCCTGTGGCTCTAATATATCAGGGCAGTTTTGTTTGATAATTTCTTGAAAGATGTTGTCCAGGCTTTTTTTTTTAATCATAGCTTTCAGGTAGTCCAATAATTTTTAGATTATCTTTCCTGGATCTATTTTCTAGGTCAGCTGTTTTTCATATTTTCATCTTTTTTCCCCTTTTTTATTTTGTTTCATTATATCTCGATGTCTCATAGAGTCATTAGTTTCCACTTTTTCAATTATAATTTTTAAATAATTATTTTCTTCAGTGATCTTTTGTACTTCCTTTTCCAATTCTATTTTTAGGGAGTTATTTTCCTCAGTAAATTTTTGTATATCTTTTCCCAAGCTATTGACTCTTTTTTTATGATTCTCTTGCATTACTCTCATTTCTTTTCCCAATTTTCTTCTACTTCTCAAATTTGGTTTTAAAAATCTTTTTTAAGCTCTTCCAGGAATTCTTTTTGGGCCTGAGACAGAATTACATTTTTCTTTGAAGCTTCATGTATGGCTATTTTGACACTATTTTCCTCTTCTCAGTTTATGCCTTGATCCTCCCTATCACCATAGTAACTTTCTGTAGTCAAGGTGTTTTGTTGTTGTTGTTGTTGTTGTTGTGCTCATTTTTTCTGCCTTTTTTTTGTGACAGTGTTTTTATGTGAAAGTTTGGTTCTAGTCTCGCCCTTTCCCAAGCTTTTTGTGCTGGGGCTATAGGTCTTACTGCTGACTTTCACTGGGCTTCAGGGCTTATTTGCTTGCTTTTTCTGGAGGATTAGCTTCTCTTCTGGCTTGTACTAGGAGGTGGAGCCTCCCTGTTGGCCTCCCCTGGGTGTGGGGCTTAGATACTGGCCTGCTCTGTGGGCAGGGCCTTGCTTCTGGGTTGCTATGGTAACAGAGTCTTTCTGGTGGTTGGCCCTGGAGGAGGGAACTTGTTGCTGGTCTGCTGTGGAAACAAGGTCTCTCTGCTGGCAGGCCGCAAGGGTGGAGTCTTTCTGTCAGCTGGACCAGGGGTAAGGCTTCACTCCTCAGCAATGGAGTCAAGGCCTCTGGTGACTCATACTGGGGGTTGGGTCCCTGGGGTGGTGTCTTGCTATGCTTACTTGCTTAGGGGGCTGCTGGCTTGCAGGAGCATGAGGCCTCACTGTTGGATTACTCCAGGCTTTGCAGGCCTCCTGCTATGAGGCTGGCTGTTGCTGCTGCTTTTAGACCTTGCTCCCCTCCAATCCCAGTGAGACATACCTTTCTGGCTGGGCTGGTAAGCTGCTTCCTTGCTCCAAGATCAATTCTGAGATGGTTTTCTAGTTGTTTGGAGCGAAATCTGGAAGGTCTTCAGAGGCCTCCTTCTTCACTTCTTCACCTTGGCACCAGAAGTCCACCATCTATACTTTCACCCAAGTTATTGATAAAAATGTTAAACAGCACTGAGCCAATCACAGAATCCTGAGGCACTCCACTGGAAATCAATGTCATGTTGGCATTGAAACATTAGCAACTATTCTTTGATTTTGATCATCCAACTAGCTCTGAATCCAATTGTATTCTTAACTAATATATATTGCTCCACCATCTCTACAAGAATAGCAAGTGATGCTTATGAAAAGCTTTGTAAAAACCTATTTAAATTATATCTACAGTATTTCACTCATGTAGCTGGTTTAATAGTATGGCATGATTGGTTCTTGATGAAGTCATGCTCTCTCTTGTAATTATTTTTTCCCTTTCTAGATATTGTCCGGCCTTATCTTTAATAATTCAGTATAGGATTTTCCCAAGAATCAAAATCAAGCTCTTTGGCCTAGAGTGGACAGAGTCTGTTTTCTTTCTTTTTTTTTTTAAAGAATTTTTTTTGTTTTGGTGAGGCAATTGAGGTTAAGTGACTTGCTGAGGGTCACACAGCTAGTAAGTGTTATATGTCTGAGGCCGGATTTTGAACTCATGTCCTTCTGACTTCAGGGCTGGTGCTTTATCCACTGTGCCACCTAGCTGCACTGGTTTTCTTCCTCTTTTTGAAAGTTGAGATAATATTTTCTCTTTTCCAATCTTGTGGTACCTTCCCCATTTTCCATATTCTTTATTAAAACATTGACAATGTCTCAGCAATCATATTTCTAGTTCTATTAGTACCAGGTAACATAATTCACCAGGGTTAGACAAGTTGAATTCATGAAAGGAACACATTTCACATAATTTAAGGGTCATCATGTGGAAAAGAGAATAGCCTTGCTCTTTTTTATCCTCAGAGGGCAGAGCTAGGAGCAATCATTAATGATGCAGAGAGTAGATTTTGGTCAAAGACAGGAAAAAATTTCTCAACGATCAGAGTTATGCAAAAGGGGAGTAGGCTTCCTCAGAAGGGAATGAGGTCTCCATCAATTTAATTCAATTCAACAGCTAAGTATTAAGTGCAAAGTACTGTGTTAAGTGCTGAGAATACATAATGAAATAATCCTTATCCTCAAGGAACTTACATTCTTCTGGGGGCAGTGAAGATAGATCTGTTACACACATAATTAGACACAGGGTTTAAAAACAAACAAACAAACAAGAGAACAGCAACACATTTTGAGGGCTAGGGAAAGTTTATTTTCTTGTTTTGTAGGCATTCTAAGGCCTAGGAAGAGGGAGAGAAAGCATTTTCCTTTCCCAGTTACCTGCCCAGCATCAAAGATAGCAATTGGCAGTGCTGAGTCTAGAGCCCAGGTTTTTTTGATTTGGGGGAATAAAGTATTTCTAGAGCACTAAATCCCTGGAAAGGTCTGGGATCCTTCTAAACAAAAACAATGTTGAGCTGGATTTCTTAGGAGCCCTGTTACCATTCCCCAGCAAAGGTTAACACCCTGCCCATTTGAATTTATCCAGAAAAATCCAGGACAGGGATATCCAAAGAGTAGCCTTAAGAGACCAATTCAAGGATTTTATATGATGATAAAGGCTTTGTAAACCTTGTCAGAGAAGAACTGGTTAAGGAAACAGGGATGTTAAGCTCAGAGAAGAGAAGACATAGGGGAAACATGGAAATTGCATCCAAATTTTGGAAAGGCTGGCACCAATCAATCAATAAACATTTATTAAGTACCTTTTAGATACCAGGCACTGTGGCAAGCACTGGGTATACAAAAAGAGGCAAAAGGTAGTCCCTACCCCCAAGGAGCTTAAAATCTAATAGAAAAGACAACATGGAAACAATTATATACAAAGCAAGTTTAGGCAAGATAAAAAGGAAGTAACAGAGAGAAGGCACTAGAATTAAGAGGGATTGAGGAAAGCTTCTAGTAAAAGGATGGGATTTTAGTTGGTGTTTAAAGCAAGCCAAGGAAGTCAGTAAGTGGAGCAGAGGAGGGAAAGCATTCCATGCATGGAGGACATTCAGAGAAAATGCCCAGAGCATCATCATCATCATCACCACCACCACCACCACCATCATCACCATCATCACCACCACCACCACCATCACCATCATCACCACCACCACCACCATCACCATCACCACCACCACCACCACCATCACCATCACCACCATCATCACCATCATCACCATCATCATCATCATCATCATTACCACCACCACCACCACCACTATCATCATCATCATCTTTGATGTTCACATACCGTTTTGAGATTTGCAAAATGATTTAGAGTGTTTATTTGCAAAGAGGATTAGATTTGCTTTGCTTGGCCTTGGGAAGAAACTCTGAGCTCAGTGGGGGAATATTACACAGAAACAGATTTTGCCTGAATATAAGGAAGTATTTCCTAATAATCAGCAGTATCCAAAGGTGGAATGGACTGTTTCAGATGGAAGTAGAATCCTGCCTACTGAAGTCTTCAACTGGAGACTGAATGATCACTTCTTGGATACGGTAGAGGGGATCCATGCTCTGAGTAGTAGCCAGACTAGATGCCATCTGAGGTCCTTGGAATTCTCAGAGTCCATGATTCTATGATAATTCTGCTTTTCTCGTGTCCAACTCTGGCATAGCCTCCATGCTGGGACCAAACCACACTGCAGTGTCTGAGTTCATCCTCATTGGCTTCTCCACATTCCCCCATCTTCAGCTGATGTTCTTTGTGCTCTTTCTGCTGATGTACTTGTTTACACTGCTGGGCAACCTTCTCATCATGTTGACAATCTGGAGTGAGCGGAACCTCCACACTCCCATGTACTTCTTCCTATGTGCACTCTCTATCTCAGAAATCTTCTACACTTTTGCCATTATCCCTCGCATGCTCACTGACCTGGTCTCCAATCGTCACACCATCTCCTTCCTGGGCTGTGCCAACCAGATGTTTTTCTCCTTCATGTTTGGTTTCACCCACTCTTTCTTGCTTACGGTCATGGGCTATGACCGCTATGTGGCCATCTGCCACCCTTTGCGCTACAATGTGCTCATGAGTCCACAGGGTTGTACCTGGCTGGTAGCTTGCTCGTGGTTTGGTGGCATGGTAATGGGGCTGGTGGTTACACTTGCCATTTTCCACTTGCACTTTTGTGGGCCCAACGAAATCCACCATTTTGCCTGCCACGTACCCCCACTTGGTGAAGCTTGCCTGTGGGGATATTTGGTCTGTGGCCCTGGGAGTGGGAATGGTCTGTATCACAGCCCTATTGGGCTGCTTCCTCCTCATCCTTATTTCCTACGCCTTCATTGTGTCCACTATCTTGAGGATCCCTTCAGCTGAGGGCCGACACAAAGCCTTTTCTACCTGTGCTTCCCACCTCACTGTGGTTGTTGTGCACTATGGCTTTGCTTCTGTTATCTACCTAAAGCCCAAGGCCCCAGAATCACTTGAAGGAGATACTTTGATGGGCATCACTATACTATCCTTACTCCCTTCTTGAGCCCTATCATCTTTAGTCTGAGGAACAAGGAACTGAAGAATGCCCTACATAAAGTCTTTCTCAACAATTTATTTCCACAAAAACTGTAGGACTCTGAAAGAAATTCCCAGAAGACAATTACTGCATTTATTACTTTGATGAAACAAAACGTAGTTGGTAGATATAGAGTGAAATTTTCACCCTCTGGAAGGGTTGCTGCTCTTCTGTCTTTACTGATATCCTTACTTGGAGTATGTTTGTTACTGCCAATCCATTGGCCAACCCAGCAAATAAGAACACTAGAAATGCCATCTTTTGTGAGGCCCATAATGATCTAGCCCTGAGTTCTGTATTAGAGGTGTAATAATCAAAGGGCGTATCATAGATGGTTCTCAGAGAAATTTTTAATTTATGAAGAGCACTTAGGGGCAAGTATTAGTTGAGGAAGGAGAAATACAGAAGAAGAAGAGACATATGTGGTGTTCATGAGAACAAATGTTTGAAATCTGAAATAGTTTTAGGAAGAAATTTATTAGGTCATTTGGTAGAGGAGAACAAGTCTGGAAGCAAGTGTGACTCCTTTCATCCAGGCTCTGGAAGGAAGGCTTACATCATATAGAATTTAGATAAGGGAGTAAGGACATTTTCCTGATTGGCCTCAAGTAGGCAGTAGATATTCTTTAAGAGAAAGGTAGTTTGAGATGCACATAAGGAGGTAAGTCAATTCATTTGTGACAACCCAAAATATAAGCTTTTTGTGGACTCAAAAATAAAACCTAGGTGTGGAGATCCAAAACAGGAATGCTTTGGGTGCATTCAGGACCTGAGGGAACCCAAAATTCCATGTAGGAATCTCTGGCTTTCCTGGAGAATTACTGAGGTCAGAGTGACATTCTAGATTCAAGAAATCTCTAGTCGCATAAGTTTAATTCCAACAATATAATGAATGATATATAATAATACAGAGTACTCAGACACATTATATAGGCCAATACTAACAACAAAGTCAAGGGAAATTCTACCTATCCCCACCAAGTAAAAGGGAGCTTTGAACAGACAGGGCCCACAATAATAAGATGATGTAGCTAGGAGCTAATTTAGTCATGGAAGTTTTTTTACGAAACCCCTTCATTTTATTGAACTTGACTCTGCCACTTATTGCTGTGTGACCTTGGGCAAATGACTTTACTTTTCAGTGCCTCAGTTTCCCACATATAGATGACTAAGGATAATAATGCTTGTACTACCTACCTCCTTGGGTTGTTAGGAGGCCACAAAGAAATAATATGTACAAAATGTTTTGTAAACTGCCTTATAAATGTAAGATTGTTATTTTTCATAAAACCCAGTGAAAATGATCAGTCCATTTTCACTGGAAAAATAAAATAGATGAAAAACTTACAGTGCTCTGACTATGACACACAGTTGTCTTCTGAGGAACCTGTATGAGGGCCAAGAAGCAACAGTTAGAACTGAATACGGAACAATTGATTATTTAAAGATTTGAAAAGGAGTACAACAGGGCTATATATTATCACTTCGTTCAACGTATGCAGAGTACAATATGTGAAATGATGTGCTGGATCAACCAAGAACGGGAATTAAGATTGCTGGGAGAAATATCAATAATTTTGGATGTGTAGATGACACCACTCTGATAGAAGAAAGTGAAGAGGAATTCAGAAGCCTCTTGATAAGAATGAAAGAGGAGAATTAGTCAACAAGTATTTATCAAGTGCCTATTTTGTGCCAAGGCAGAAAATAACTTGCCATTGGGATGGAAAGAACCACTGAATGGGAGCCAGAATGGAGATCTAGCCCCAGATCTGCCCCACATTCACTGCAAAATCTTGGTAAAATAATTTCATCTTTCTGGGTCATAGTTTCCTCAGATGAAATTATTAAATTAATATCAGTGATCTTTGCAAGATCATGGAGTCTGGAAAAGAGGTCTCAGGGATGGAGTTGGGCAAATGTGATTCCAACTTTCACAAAATGGCAGAGGATTGAATCTGCGACTAAGGACAAATGGACTTGATTTTCTGGTAAAATTGTAGAATATTCTATTAGTACATTGGATTATGGGCATTTAGAGTGAGAAGTACTGATTGCTAAATATCATCAAGGCTTCATCAAGAATAGTTCATGTCAGTCTAATCTAATTTCCTTTCTTGACAGAATAACTGGCATGGTAGAACAAGGTGATTTTATGAACATAGTTTACTTGATTCCAGCAAAATGTTTAACTAAATCTCTGTGTTATCTTTGCGGGCAAGATGGAAAGATGTCAGCTAGATGATAACACAGTATTCAAAACCAGTTGAATGGTCAAAACCAAAGTGTAATCATTAATGGATCAACATCAACTTGGAAGGAGGTATCTAGTGGAGGACCTCAGGAATCTATCCCTGGCCTTGTGCTATATTTCAATCAATTCAGTCAATATTTCAATCATTCATATGAAGAAAGAAAAAGTAACTTGTCAAACTTGCAGCTTACACAAAGTTAGGAGGGCTAGCTCCCAAAATGAATAAAAGCATTATCTAAAAACAAAACAAAACAAAAAAATTACAACAAGCCAGGCTAAATTTGGACCATATCTGACCTCTGATGCTCATTACTTGTGTGTTACCTTGGGCAAGTCACTCAACCCTTCTAGGCCATGATATCCTTATCCAAAAAATGAGGAGATTGGACTAGATGATCTTTGATGTCCTTTCCAGATCTAAATCTATGACCTTGTTATATTAATAAAATGAAATTTATTAGAAACAATTGTAAAGTTCTTCACTGGGATTCAAAACATCAACATTCGAAAGTTGTAGAGACATGGCTAAGTAAGAATTCTTATGAAAAACATCTTGAAATTTTAGTGGACTGTATGCTCTGTATAAATCAGTATGAAATGGCAGCCAAAAACCAAACAAGCCTTACATGGTGCCCGGCTGAAATAAGAAAGACATAGGGAGAAACTTCTTGGAGCCAAGATGGTTCAGTAAACAGAAAAATCACTTTAGCTGTCCCATATTCACTTCAAAACAACCATAAAATAGCACTCCAGAACAAATCCTGGAACAGTAGAGCCAGTGGGAGGATGGGGTGGAGCAGTCTTTAAGTCCAAGAGACTTGGAGCATCAGCAAGAAAAGTCCATTATCCTCCGGGAGCCAAGATGGTGGAGTGAAAAGGTAGTCACTCTCACTCTCCCCTATCAACCTCTGAAAACCCAGAAAATATCACCCCAGAAAAAAACCCCTGGAACAGCTGAACTAGAAGAAAGATGGGGAGCAGCAGTGCAGAAGCCCAGCAAATGGGTCTCCCAGTACCTCAGCAAAAATAAGGGAGGCAGAACTACAAGGGGGTCCTAGGTGGATAAGTACCCTGCAACATTCATCTGAAAGGAGGCGAAGAAAGCAACCTAAAGTCTTCCTAAAGCCCTGGTCTTGCTGGTTCCAGCCCAACACCAGGTGAGCTGTTGGTGCCCTGCAGCCTCCAATAGTGAAGAAATCCTAAAGCCCAGGTGGTAGAACAGGCAAACACCAACACCTGGACCTCTGAGTGCCTCAGTGGGGGGGGGCGGAACTGCTGGAAACCAGATCAGAAAACCATCAGGTGCCTTTGGTGTTCTACCACAAAGGAATCTCCCAGTGTGTTAGCAGAAACAAGGGAGACAACATTGCAGGGGGCCCCAGGCAGATAAACATCCTGCAGCACCCATCTAAAAGGAGCTGAAGAAAGCTAAAGGAAAGGAAAAGCAGGCAACCTAGAATTGCCTGAAAGTTCCAGCCTTGCTGATTCCTGCCCAACATGTGGTAAGCTGCCAGAAACCTACAGCCTCCAATTGCCAACATAAGAGGCCCCAGCACACAAAGCCAGTGACCAAGACCTAGGCTCCCAACACAAGAAGCTTGGGTCAGTGCACTCTGTTCCCCAGCAGGAGAGCTCAATCCCTTTAAAGGCCAGGAATAAAGAGACACCATGAGTAAAAAGAAACGTACCATAGATTCATATTATGAGAAGAGTGAAGATCAAGACAGAAATTCTGAAGAGGACAACATTGTCAACAAACCCACACCTGCAACATCAAAAGGGAATATGAACTGGTCTGAAGCCCAAAAAGCCTTCTTAGAAGAGCTCAAGAAGGATTTTAATAGTCATACAAGAGAGGTAGAAGAGTCCTTAAAAAATACAATTGGTCAATTGGAAAAAAGGTACACTGAAGAAAACAAGTCCCTAAAAAACACAATTGGCCAATTGAAAAAGGAAGTACAAAAACTAACAGAAGAGTACACTGAAGAAAACAAGTCCTAAAAAAACACAATTGGCCAATTGAAGAAGGAAGTACAAAAACTAACAGAAGAAAACAATCTGTTAAAAACCAGGACTGGACAAATGGAAACTGATGTCTCTCTGAGAGAGCAAGAATCAGTCAAACAGAAACAAAAAAAAAAGGAAAAAATAGATGAAAATGTAAAAAACCTCATTGGTAAAACCACTGACCTAGAAAATCAATTCAGGAGAGTATCTTTCAGGAAATCATAAAGGAAAACTGCCTGGAAGTCCTAGAACCAGAAGGTAAAATAACCATAGAAAGAATATATCACTCACCACCTGAAAGAGATCCCAAATTGACAACACCAAGAAATATAATAGCAAAATTCCAAAATTACCAGATGAAAGAGAAGGTGCTGCAAGCAGCCAGAAAGAAACAATTTAAATATCATGGAACCACAGTAAGGATTACACAGGACCTTGCAGCTTCTACATTAAAAGACCACAGGGCATGGAACATGATATTCCATAAGGCAAAGGAGCTTGGATTGCAGCCAAGGATCAATACCCAGCAAAAATGAGCATCATTTTTCAAGGGAGGAGGTGGATATTCAAAAATAGGGACTTCCAAACTTTCCTGATAAAAAGACCAGAGCTCAACAAAAAATTTGATCTTCAAGTACAGGACTCAAGAAGGACTAAAAAGGTAAATGGGACAGAAAGATACAATATGTTGTTAATAAGGGGGGCTGTTTAAACCCTACAAGGGAATATGAGACTTGCAACCCTTGAGAACTGTATTGTTATTACACCATGTTAAAGGAGTATACATAAAGAGGG